AGAAAGGAGTTAAAACTGACAGAGAAAAAGGACAAAAGAAAACAACCCAAGAGCTGGTTTGGATATTTGGCCACACTTTAGCCATCACCCAAAAGCAGCAGATGGAGCCATCCGGCTTCCACAATGCCTTTCCTTTTCATGCGTGGACCCAGGGCCATTCCAGGGAGTGTGTCAGCCAAGTCTGCCTCCCCCAACCAACTGCTTTCCCGTATGTTGCACTCGAATCACTTTCACCATTATGGATGAGCGTTGTGGGAATTGGCTCCAGTGTATGGGAGGTGCAAGGGGGAAACAAGGTTAAGAAAGCCTGGTTGAAGTATCTGATTCTTCAACAATACATTACAGTAAAAGCTGAGGTACGAAGAGCCCAATGTCATTAGTAATAGCGATATAGTGAGTGAATTGCAGGATGTTTGATGTCTGAAGATTGAGGGTTATGTTCAAAATACTGAGTCCAGTATTAATGTTGCCAAAGCAAATTAGAGTGAGGAGAATCATGAGCCAAAAAGCAAGGCTAAGAATGGGGCTGGGAGCATCTTTACAGACTAATTCAATGCAAGTTGCTAGTTTTGTGAGGGCAAGGTCCTCGGATGAGCTGATCATGTATATATGGCAAGAGATCATCTTCTCTGAACACAGAACATGGATGAGATGGCCTTCATCCTTCCAGTTTGACACTTTCATTTGTCCATGACTGGCACATAATAGACTGGCAGGTTGCTATATTAATACCATGAATGTCAAGATTCTGCTTCATTTCTCGTTCTCTGACTTATATTTAATTTTGTCTCATAGTGTGTCCTACCTCACAAGGCTGTAGTAAAAATAAATGGGGAGAAACTAGATGTGCTGTCTTCAATAGTTGATTTAAATAAAGTAAGAAGTTAATACAATGATTAGTGCAGTTTGATTTACGCAAATGCAGACCCTATCAAAATGTATTTCAAGGTCATAAATCTAGAGAAAAACTGCTTGTAGAACTACTTTTTAGGAAGATTTATCTGTTTAAGAATTTGCACAACATATGCATCAGTTCCTTGCCAGTTATGGGGAAATGATCCTTCTGGTGGTCGGTTGCCACAGTGCATGGTGTTCAGTGGTTTTTGCAACATTTAAAACAACTGGGCTGGTTTGGAAGCATTGTTGCTCTACTCCTATGGGCCAAAGCAGTATTTATTTCTAAAGTTTGGAAGTGCATTTTATTTCTCCTGTTCAATTACCAAATTTGAATGATTCCAGAAGGGAGTCCATTCTCAACCTGCCTTCTGAGATGCTGATACAACTCTAGTTGAGATCAAAGCATTATGCAACATCCCCCCCCCCCGTTTCGTTCCTTGCAGACTGAAATTCCATCCATTGTTGTAAAATTCATATGTGCAAAACTGGGCCTTTGGACCAGACCAGGTATTTATCAATGCTCCTTTCCTCATTTAGCAAGCAGGAGGGCCTTCCAAATCCAGCGTTCCCCAAACTCATGACAGTGGCCTTATCTTGTCTGGAGCCCAAACATTAAAGTTTTCTGCCTCCCGCCCAGCTATGAAGCCAACCCCTTGCCTGTAGTCTTACAGCAAGAGAGCCTCTAGCCGTTGTTGTTTCTTTTGCCATTGTGGAAGTGATCAAGAGACCTTCTCCATCTCAGTCCGATAAAATGGACTAGGATGATTTTGTTTGTCTTAATTTGAGATGCTATCTATTGAATCATCGCAATCCCTCATCCTTTCCTTTCTTTTTCCCTTCATGGCCCTACATCAGATTGCTTATTTAAATAACTGGACATTTGACTGCATTGACTTAAAAGTGAAATCAGGTAGTCCTCAAGTTAAGATGGCAAGTGGGAGTTGAATTTGCGTTGCTAAGCGATGCGGTCATAAAGCGCAATGTCACATGACCACATCGCTTAGCAACGACAATCCCTGCAGTCCACATTGCTGTCATTAAGCAAGGATCATAGGTCATTAAGCAAGCAAACCAAAGTCAGTGGGGAAACTGGCAGGAAGTTGCAAGTCCCTGCGGTTCGCAAGCAGTCTGGCAAACAGGTAAGTGGCTGCTGGCGGGTGGGAGATGGAGTGAGGGGGTGCGTGAGTGGTAGGGGAGGTGCAGCGTAAGTGCAGCAAGGCTCAGGGAGAGTGGGAGAGTGCGGGTGGCGGGAGAAGCGCAGTAGGCCTTGGGGGCCAGGTGGGAGAGGGTGCATGAGTGGCTGTGTGGGGTGCACAAGTGGCCAGGGAGGCATGGCGTGAGTGCAGCAATGCTTGGGAAGGGTACATGAGGGGGTCTGGGTGGCCAGCGAGGTGTGAGCACAGAGGGGTTGGGGGAGGGCGTGCGGGTGGGGGAAGGTGCATGAGGGTGCTTGAGTGGCTGGGGAAGGTAAGCAAATGGCCAAGGAGGCACAGTGCAAACACAGTGAGGCTCAGGGAGGGTGGCAACTTGCAACCTTCCCTGCTGGCTTCCCCACTGATTTTGCTTATGGGGAGCCAGCAGGAAAGGTTGCAAATCATGATAATGTGACCGCAGAATGCTGAAACTGTTCTAAGTGTGAGCCGGTTGCCAAGCGCCCAGATTGCGATCACATGTCTGCAGGAGTGCTGGGCCAGCTGGAACTTTTGAGGACTGGTCATAAGTACCACTCGTTCAGCACCATTGTAATTTCGAATGGTGGTTGTTAACCAAGGACTATCTGTAGTTGCTAAGTTACCCTGTATTTCCTGTCTATATGTGCTTTTGTTAACCCTGTTAACAGCAGGGGGCTCACTCTGTGCAGACAGTCAGGTTTACATCCACTCCAGCTGGAGCCTGGTAAAACCTTGGACTTTATTTTTTTCTGTACTGCATGCGAAACTTAATTTGTCACTAGGAAGGATAGATTGCAAGGCCAACCTGTGGCTGTAGATGGATACCTGGCAGAACCAGGGTGGTCTCTGCTACCACTGATATATAAGCAGAAGGTAATCATGCCCCACGGTGCTGAGCATATCTATTGTATTAATTGTATCACAATTTACAATGTCCAATCAGCTAATCTCAAGATCATGCGTCATTTTCACTCGTACCATTCATACACAACTTCAGTGTGGGATGGCATTCCTCAGTCTTTTGTATTTCCTCCTTGTGGCAGAACAGCAAATTGAGATAATGTACACACCAAAAAGATTTTCAAAGAGTTTTACTTAAGGTCTTATATAAACAGCAATAGCAAGAGAAATTAGAACTAAATACAATTTAGTCTACAAGAAACAAAATAGAAAAGGATAAAACAAAGCACACAGAATATCCCAAATATTACCAAAGGGGCAGTGGCCAGCATAGTGATCATCCCTGGAGGTGAGAGATAGTTGGGATGCTAGAAAAATGCACAAAAGATGGGAGCAGTGACCTTGGATCTATCTCTGAAGCCCAGGAATGGAGGCGGCTTAGGGTGCAGAACATGGACTTTGTATTCCCTTGAGGCCAAGCTGCTGCCCTCATCCCCCTGCCCTTGGTCGATTCTCTCCATTCTCCACCTGCTCAGGATCGCTCATCTGTTTCAGCCCCTTGCACGGGCAGGGCTAGAACTGCTTCACTAAGGGAAGCCCTTCCTCGGCAGAGTTGGGGCCAGGCACGGAGGCAGAGGTCCCATCATGTCCTCAACACAGTCCCCTCCCTGCGCCTCTCCAGCTGCTTTCTTGTCTACACTCTGAGCCATTTAACTCTTTCTGCAAACATGCAGACTTTCAGTCCCCCACCCACTCATCTCCTGTAACATTTCTTTACATGAGAATCAATGCCTCTGCTTGCAACAAAACTTAGAACATTAACTCAGGCAAGGTGGAAAGTTGACTTGAAGAGAGTACAAACCATCCTATGTACTATAGTGCATACATGTCTCTGTGCTGCCTAAAGCCATTTCTGAATATCATAGGGCCTTCTAAACAAGGTCCTTCTCTTCTGGACTTGGGGCCATTAAATTCCCAAGCATCACCTTTTTTATTATTTTCCCAGAAGTTGCGTACATCGAGGGACTGTTGGCAGGAGAGGCTTGTTAAACGTCTCAGCTGACTGATAATAATTTAGTATCATTCTTCTAGTTGACCAAACTTGCAATCAAGCTAGGAGGAAAATTCTCTCTCCCCTGACCCTCATCACTGATCCATAACACTTGCTAAGAATTCTAGCAAGCTGCAGTGATACGTAGTTGGGCAGAGTAGTCCAAAAGGAGCAGGGAAAGGGGAATCCATGTGGAATATATGCCGTAAATTGGTAACTACTAGCTTTGCTGGCTCCATTACTGCTGCTGCATCATACTGCTAGCTGCCAAAGTACTGATTGGTTCACTAGGCATTGTAGCTTAGCTCCACTTTCACCCAGCATGCAAAACGCCAGAAAATTTAAGAACAGGCCCTCAGGAACTGGTACAAGCTACCTCCAGCACACCACTGAATGTATAACTCCTTCGTCCTGCATCTCAGATAATGTGTCCCTCAAGTCCAAGTTGACTCTTGGTGTCTACGTGAGCAAGTCCATGCAGTTTTCTTGGCAAATATGTAGAAGTGGTTTGATATTACGTATCCTGGGAGGTTTCTCCAACTTCACAGTTTACCCTTTCTTAGGTTCTTCCATCCAAATTCTACTCAGCCCCAACCCTACTAACAGCCTGAGTCCCAATAAGGTAAGCAGGTACTGCTGCATGGTAAGATCCGTCTTTGAAAAGGGTTGGCAAGATACACAGAATGCACCTATTGTAATTATGGCTTAATATTCTCATTTTCTGGTAAAGCATGCATCCCATAAATATTTATAGAATATTCAAAAACTAGAAGCAAAATCAGTTTGGGGCAAAATTAGTAACAGCATATCAGATATGCCAGAGTGTTTTCAACACATCCTTCAAAATCATAGCATGAATTCTTTATTTAGGGTCCAAAACTACAAAACTCTTACTTCTCTTTCCTCTATATACAGGTTAAGCTTCTGAAAACAATGGAAATGGAAGGCAATCAGACATTAGTTACTGATTTTGTCTTGGTTGGGTTTACAACAGACCCATTTCTACGCATAATCTTCTTTGTGCTGTTCTTGGTCTCCTACACCCTGACACTGACTGGGAACCTGGGCCTCATGGCACTGATCTACCTAGACTCCCATTTGCACACACCCATGTACTTCTTTGTGGGCAATCTGTCCTTTCTGGATGTCTGGTACTCCTCAGTCTACACTCCTCGGATCTTGTCTGACTGTATGTCCAAGAACCAGCACATGTCCCTTGCTGGTTGTGCAGCCCAGTTCTTCTTTTCTGCCACATTAAGCTTCAGTGAATGCTTCCTACTGGCCTTCATGGCCTATGACCGCTTTGTGGCCATCTGCAACCCACTCCTTTACACCACTGCCATGCCCAAGAAGCTCTGTGTCCAGCTGGTGCTAGGAGCTTATGCAGCTGGCTTTGCCAGTGCCATTGCACACACTGGTAACACTTTCCGCCTACGCTTCTGTGGGAACAATGTCATCAACCACTACTTTTGTGATGTGGCACCACTTGTGAAGATGGCCTGTGATGACACACGCGTATATGAAGTCATACTGACTGCTGTTGTTGGGTGTAACATTTTAGCAACTACAGCTCTCATTGTGAGTTCCTACATTGGGATTGTGGCAGCCATAGTCCGTATCCGTTCAGTTGCAGGAAGACGCAAAGCCTTCTTCACTTGTTCAGCTCATCTGGTCTCTGTTTCTCTCTACTATGGTTCCATTCTTATCATGTATTCCACACCCAACTCTCTACACACTCCAAACTGGGACAAGGCAAATGCATTGTTCTATACAGTAGTCAATCCGCTGGTCAACCCTTTCATTTACAGCTTACGCAACAAAGATGTAAAGGCAGCTTTCAAGAACGTCTGGGGGAGATTTCTAGCACACAAATAAATGCCATTGATACTGTCTTTCTCCAGAATAGATTACCAATGATGAAATTAAACCCCTGCTTCTAGAGTCAGCCTGCCTGCCTGCCTGCCTGCCTTCTTTGAGTATATATCATATTCCTTGAGGATATATGTAGAGAGCAAGGAAGCCCACTTTGGCAGAGATATGGAAACTCAATTGCCACAGCGACAAGGGGCAAAACATGTTTTAAGTCCAGAACATCCAGATGACCTTAAAAGCGGCTCAGAGACACAGTTCTCTAATTCACTGAACTATAAGAATGAGGAGGAAGTACAAAGCAATCAGACTTGCAAGATTTTCTTCTTATAGCCAATCTCAATAAAAGTAGTTTTAACCTTCTTATGGAGTTGATTTCTTGGTCTGGTCTATCTAGTGGGGTTGATATCAATTTTGCAAGTCTCCTACTTTCCTTTAACAGAGACAGAAGATCTCAGCTTTGTTCCTGGAAATGGCCTCCAATCCTCAGGGTACATCGCTACCCACTGAACACCTTGCTGCAGCACTGTTGCAATAACACCAACAAGTGGACCTATAAATAACCGACATGCAGAATGCCATGATGCAACTGACAGAACAGTTGTGTCAGAATTTACCTCAACCAGCAGCAGCCCAGCAGCCTTCAGCAGAGCTGATATTTCTGCTTTCTCATGGGAGTTTGCTACAGAGGTATGGAGGATACCAAGACCAATTCCTGACTTTCATAACTCAGTGTGAACTCTTTATGGCAGGTTGACCAGCAGTTTCTCACAGATCACACCAAACTTACTTTTGTACTGACTTTGCTGAAAGAAGGGACAGCCAAATGGGCTATACCTATCATTGAAGACAATGACCCTATGCTCAACAATTATCAAGACTTCATGCAAAGATTTAGAGGTTCTTTTGACAAGTCCGTGAGACCCCTGACTGCCAGTTGTGAGATTTGCAAACTCAAGCAAAGGGTGTGGGCATACATATTGGATTTTAAATTATTTGCCAGAGAGGTAGGGTGGAATGGTCTGGTCTGATTGACCAATTTAGAGAAAGGCTGGCTGATGAACTGAGAGATGAACTGGTGAGACAAGGCACCCATATAAAATGGAAGAGCTGTTCCAACATTGTGTAGTAATAGATGGCTGAGTGGAAGAGTTGAGGCAGGGGAGAAATGGCAAGAATGTAAATTCTCTGGTAAAGAGAATTTACATTCTCTCTTCTCCCATATCCCCCCTCCTGATAGCCTCCTCGGAGGCAGGAAAACCCATGTAAGGGGAGCAGCAGAACCCATGTAAATTGGAGCAATTAAAAGGTGTATTTCACTAGGTAGCTAAGCTTATGCTTTTACTGCAGAGCTCTCAGGCAGATAGCCAGATCCTGCCTAGCTAAAATCCAAGCCTCTACTCAGTGACAAAATGCCACACCTTTGGATTTATAGGCCATATAGTAAGAAAGTCCCAACTCATTTCAAGGCAATAGCATCAGGAAACCTCTCAGGCCCCTGTCCCAAGAGATCTAAATGTTATTCTTCCTGTTACTCTTTGCTTAGATTCAGGCCAGAAAGTACAACTCTCTACTGTTATAGACTCAGTAGCAATGCTAATTTCATAAACTAGTCCATAGTACCAGAGTTAGGTTTACCCATCCAGACTCTCAAAAAAACAGTGATGCTAGAAACAATAGATGGACAGATGCTGAGAGCTGGTTTTGTGATGCACTAACCCACTTGTTGATAATACAAGATCACACAGAGTTGAGAGGCTGCAGTTACACAATCCAAATGTGGGCTTGACACAAGGAATTATTTTGTTCCCATCACAAAGATGCCATCAACCCTAGTTGCAAGCCTTGCGTTCTCTCCCTCCCCCCAACCTGGTCCAGCATAGTAACTCACCTACCTTGCCAGAGAAATTCTCAGAATTTGTAGATTTAAATTGCATTTAAGGAGGAAGAAGCATGTGATTGCACCATCAATTTGAAACTGTGGGGCCAAATTTTGGTAAAGAGACAATACTTCATCTCTACTCATGAGCTAGCCGCACTGAAAGAATATCTGGATGACAATATAAAAAAGGGTTTATTTGGTCTTCCAAATCAGCAACATTTGCAGTGACTCTTTTGTCCCAAAAAATGATGGGGGGGGGGGAACTGTTCATGACTATAGGCTTCCTAACCAGATGACCGCTACGCATTACCTCTTACTTCATGACTCATGAAGTGCCTCCAAAAGGCACACATTTTTACAAAGTTAAACTCTGACCTTATAATTTTATCGGAATGAAAGAGGGACATGAATACTTAACTGCATTCAGTAGCAGATATGGAAAATTTGAATACATGCTTGGTTAATTGTAGGGCAGCCCTCAAGATTCATGAATGAAATATTGTATGTATGTAGTGGTATATTTGGATTACATACTGCTTTTTTCTGAGGATCCTTTCTTGCGTGAGATACATGTCAGAAACATCTTAAAGAGACTTCATGAACATAAACTTTTTGCTCAATTGGAGAAATGTACATTTGAGCTACCTCAGTTAGACTATTTGGGATATAGGATCTCTACTGAGGGCACACAGCTGGGTTATAGAATTTCTACTGAAAGCATTCCAACAATGGAGACACTTTCTGGAAGGGGCTGCCCACCCAATACAAATTCGCATAGAGCACAGGAATTTAGAAATTCTGCAGAAGGCACAATCACTCACTCCTTGAAAAATCAGGTGGGCACATTTTTTCTCCTGTTTTGATTTTATATCTCTTATAATCTTGGCTCACAGAACAAGCTTCCAGGCACCCTATCACATAAGCCTGAATATGACCTTCCCTAACCATCTCCTCCAACTACCATACTATAATTGAGCAACTTTGAGTCCCCCTAGAAGTTGGATCCTCCACAAAGACTGGGAATGGGGTGGCAGACTGTTGATCTCTTAGAACAGATTAAAGCTCAGCAGCAGCATGATGCTTACATCAGAGCTCAGATGGATGACCTCCAGGGAGTCCCACAAGACAATTTGTAGCTTTTCACAGTCGATAAAAGGCAGCTGTTGCACAATGATTGTTTGTATGTTCCCATTCTTTAAGGGAAGAGGTATTGCAACTCTGCTACAACAATAGGACACCTGGACATGAAGGAATATTTAAAACTCAGCATTAGGTCCTTAGGGACTTCTGGTGGCCAAAAATGAGGGCAGACCTCAAGGATTGCTGTATGTTTCATCTTGTCATGTATGCTGTAGGACAAAATCTGTTCCTGGAAAGCCAGCCAGCTTGCTGCAGCCTCTAAACTCTCTTTTGCAAACCTTGGACACTATATCACTGGATTTTATTACTGATCTCCTTCAGTATAGAGATATACCAGCATTCTGATAGTCATAGATTTGTTTACAAAGTTGGTCCATTTCATTCCTTGCAAGGGCCTCCCTACAGCTAAGGAAATGGCACAATGTTTTTTGGACCATGTTTTTAGATATATAGGCCTAGTCAATCATGCGATCTCGGATCACAGGTCACAATTTACCTCCAAGTTTTGGGAGGCCCTCTTCTAATTATTAAACATTCAAATTAATTTGTTCTGCTTGCATCATCTGGTATCAAATGGAGAGTCTGAGAGAGTCAACCAATTATTACAACAATATTTAAGATGTTCTATCTCTTAACAACAAGACAATTGGACTGAGCTGTTGTCGCTTGCAGAATTTGTCTACTTTTTTGTGCCCGCATTGCTGGCTGCCAGCCAACAAGACAACAAGTTGCATTAGAGCTTGATTTTGAGGTCCATGAATATTTAGGTTTTTGGGAGAACTTCACATTTGAAACAGGGGCAAAATATTCTATTGGAAATTGTGGGTGAAATCTAGAATACATACTTGAAATCAATTACTGTGCAATGATTATTTTAAGGATTTTCTTTTTTTTACTACAGACAGAATTTTGCTCCCTAATTCACAATGTTGGCAATATAATCTTCCTGAGAATCATTTGATGATTCAATGTGGACTGGATGCTTTGGCTGCTCCCAAGAAGCCTAAGATGCTCTCATCTTTGATGGAGTCCTTGTCTGAAATTAAATCCACATCATATTTATATAAAAAATGTATGAATATTCTTAAAGTTGACATTAATTATCTCATGGATTAAAGAATTAGAACATCCAATAGTGGCACATTAATGGCTACAGGTCTTTAGAAATGCCAAATTTGTTTTAAATTCAGGATTAAAATTGATTCATGAAAATATTGTATTTTTGTGTATATTCGACACTTGAAGTCAACCCAGAGTTTTCACTCAAGGCACAAATGATCGGGTTCAAATTATCCTACTTTGGACATATTATGCGAAAACCAAGCCCCCTAGAGAAGACTGTACTGCTGGGAAAGGTGGAAGGAAAGGGAAAATGACCAGCAGCAAGGTGAATGAACTCACTTGTTGTGGCAATGAGTGCACCATTAGAAGATCTGAAAGACCAGGTTAGGGACAGGCTGTCATAGAGAACATCTGTCTATATGTTTCCGAAGAGTCGAAAACCACTCGATGGCACCCAGTCAATCAATTGTATTGGGCACCCAAAAGAATATATTTGAAAGGATGAGCATCAGATTATCTCTGCTGGTGATGTAAACAATTTGAGGGGGTCATTGACTCATATGATTTGGTCTTGTGAATAACTGGTGTATTTTTGAAAGAATATATTAACATCTACAAGTAGATTTATGGGGAAAACTTTTAAGGTAAAAGATGTTAATGCTATATTAAATTATGTCCCAGAATTTTGGAATAGGATTATTTTTCAGATATTATGGTCATACTGGATTTGGGGTATTGCCGAGAGCATTATTTTGAGAAACTGGAAAATTGGTATTATTTCTAATGTCAAGGACTGGTTTTAAGAGATGTATAACTTTCTAAAAAGGCAATTTTTACGTATTAATGCAAAAACAACACAATATATTTACTTCTGGCATATATTTAATGACATTTTATAATAATAGATTATTACTTATTCACA